TTTTTTTTTTTTTTGGTACCAGGGATTGAACTCGGGTCCTTGTGCTTGCGAAGCAGGCAGTGAAACCACTGAACTAAATCCCCGGCCCTTTTTCTATTTTTTTATTGGTATATGTTTACATATTTATATTCATTTTGGGAAAGTGATACACACACACATATCATATCTTGATCACTTTCTATCCCTTTTCCCCTTCCTCCCTTACTGTGTTTTTTTGGTACCTGGATTGAACTCAGGACCTTGCGCTTTTGAGGCAGGTGGTGGCACCACTGAGCTAAATCCCTGGCCCTCTTACTGTGTTTTAAAAGGACTCTAAGAAGATCACTTGGATCTAAACTCATAATCCTGATCTATATGAACCTTCTAGGAGCCCCTGAAAGTTTCTTTTCTGTGATACCTGGGATTGGACCCAGGACCTCGTGCTAGGAAAGTGTTCTGTCACTGAGCTACATCTCTAATGCTTTTTAGTAATTTTTAATTAAAAAATATTTTTTTAATAAGTTATCCAGGCTGGCTTTGAACTTGTAACCCTCCTTCCTCAGCCTCCCCAGTAGGGGGGTTATATGTATGCACCACTAAACCTGGCTCTGGGAGATTGTTTACAGGACTGGGGGAGGTAAAGGGGTTTCATTGCTGCTTTTCAGGGTGACAGCTGTAGTGGGAGCTCAATGTGCATGGCCACTTAAGCCAGACCACTGTGACCTGGGCCAAGGCTGCCACATGTTCAAGTTCCTTGTGGAACCTTTACACTCTCCTCATGCCACCAAAGGCTTTGTATGTGTGTTTTTGGGTTTTTTTTTTTTGGTACCGGGGATCGAACTCAGGACCTTGCACTTGTGAGGCAGGTGCCAGAACCACTGAGCTAAATCCCCAGCCCTAAAAGGCTTTGAAAAGTATCTCTGCCTTCCTTCAGCAAGAGAGAAGTACATGATAAAAGAGGTGCCTGCCAGTGGTTCTGAGGATGATTTCAAGTAACTGATCTCCTCACCTGAAAAGCCATCTGGGACAGGAAGGTGAGCTTGTCCTTCTCAAACAGTGCTTGGCTGGTGTAGAGGAAGACGGCACACGTGAGGCTCTCTGTCAGGACTGAGATGCGCCCCTGTGTGTCCTCTACCTTGTTGGCTTGCTCGATTGCTCTGTGGAACAGCATGTTGAAAGCCTGGGAAATGAAATGTGACCATTAAAGGTTGTCAGTTGGTGCCTGGATGTATAGCTGGCCTCAAATACACAGGGCTAGAGTATAAGGTTTATCCATGGGATAGGAGAGCAAGGGAAGATTTTCATGAACATTATTAAAAACAGTTCCTGGCACATAGTCACTGCTCATTAAATGTCTGCCTCCATGACTGTTGTTATTAACACCATTCACAAAATCTACATTTCCTTGTGTACTTCAAAAATTGCTTTCAAAAAAATTTTAACTATGTTAAAATACACATAACAAATTTCACCATCTTAACAATTTTAAGTGTACAGATCTGTAGTGGTAAGTGTATTACATTGTTGTGCAATCAATCTCCAGGACACTTACATCCTATGAAATAGAAACTCTGTACTCATCAAACGACACTGTTCCCACCCCTTTCATGCAGTCCCACCATTCTGCTTCCTACATCCATGAGCTTGAATACTCTAGGTAGCTCGTGTGAGTGGAGTCACGCATTATTATTTTTGTGTGTGTATGGTTGGCTTATTTCACTCAGGATAATGTTCTCCAGGTGATTTAGTTTTACTCTTCTCCACATACACTTTTGCTGTTGCAAATCTAAACACACTGTGTTTGTCAGAATTTTTGCACATCAGTTCTACACTGGTAGTAAAGCTGTTAGTTATGCTTGACTCTTCCTCTTTGTCACTGTTCACAGCCACGGCCAATACATCTTCAAGAGCTCGTGATCATAGCTTCAAGTCATGTTTCTAGTTTGTTCATTTCTCTGAGTCTTTTGTCATCATATCAGTCACCTGCTTGAAATCTTCCAATGGCTTCTTGCTGCACACAGAACGTAACCCCAAATTCCTGTGAGGCTCTGTTTGCTGAGTCCTTCCCTCCTCAAGGATTTGGCTCTTGATTCCTTCTCTCTCACTCACCTACATCCACATACATTCACTCACTCCCTGGGATCTGCAAACTTCTTCACATCTCGTATGTCCCTGTTTCCTCCAAACTCTAAGATCCTACTTATTATTCAAGCATCAATTAAAATGTCACTCCCTCTGGTGGGGCCATCCCTGAGTCCCCAGCAACGTAGCTCCACCCCATTATTGTACTTATCATTTCATAAGCACAGATGGATTTGTCATCTATCTATCCCGCCACCGATACAATTTTTTCAAAACTGAATACTCAGTGACAAGCATCTAGCATAACTGATCTCAATAAACATTTGTTTAAAAACTGATGCTCCAAATGAACAAACACTGCCTAGGGACAGAACGATGTAATGTATACTGCATGAGCTTTAGAGTCAAACAGTCACAGGTTGAAATCCTGGCTCTAACAATCACAAAACAGAAATTATTGGACAATGTATTTAAAAATCTGAAACTTTTAGTTTTTTTCAATGAGGATAAAATTATACACTTTATTGGGATGTTATAGGCTTAGAAAAGTGACCCGAAATATACAAGTACTTTGCATATTCAACAGTGGTTTAATGTTTTTGTTCCCCTTTCTCCCCTCTTCACTAAAAAACAGGAGAAATTTAAGACTTCTACATTTTCACAAAGACAAAATAGAATCCTCAAAGAATAATCCCTTGTATGTAGTAAATCTTTAAAATTATTCTGAAGAGGGCTGGGGATTTAGCTCAGTGGTTTCACTGCCTGCTGTGCAAGTGCAAGGACCTGAGTTCGATCCCCGGTACCAAAAAAACCCCACACCCATAAAATTATTCTGAAGCAACATACAAATGCAATACATCACATTTAGTTACCTCAAAGTCTTACTGAATATTATAAATGAAAGAGCCTGAGAGAATGATGATGATGTCATTGTTGTGAACTCAATCCTCATGAGTCCTTCCTGGAAACACTGATTATTTAGAAATAAATTCCTAATTTCCAGAAACAAGTGGATATTTCTGAGGTTTTTAATTTCTCTTTGCCTCCTCAGCATTACCTTCAAAGAGAACTGATAGATGGGGTTGATGTTTCTGAGGTTGTTAATAACAAAGTAAAGAAGAGATGCTCTTGCTGCCACTGGTCTGTAACATTCTCGAGCCTCGTTGATTTTTCTTTCATTTTCTTTGGCTTCAATCACCTACGAAATGATCAAAGAAAATTAATAACTCACTCTTCATATTCTCTGTATATATCCAAGAAATGAAAGGACGCACCTGAAATGAGATAATACACATATGTGTCTATGTGTTTGAGTTTTTTGGGGTTTTTTTTGATACTGGAGATCGAACTCTGGTCCTCACATTTTTGAGGCAGGCGGCAGAACCACTGAGCTAAATCCCTGGCCCTATGTGTTTGAGTTTTTCCAAAGTTATTAAGTTCATATTTTAAATAACTTTTTCACAAACTGTATTTCAGTGAGAATGGATATAACTCTAGCTGCCTTAGAGATTACAGACTTAAGCAAACCTAATTGTTTTTGGTTCCACAGAATTTGTTTCAGAGTAATGTCACCTTCCTGCCTCCCCTCTTTCAGGGCTTAATAACCCAGCTATATCACCTCCCAGGGATGGCTCTTAAAAGTCTGCTGGGTCAATTCAGTGCCAATAACTTTATTAGGCAACCAGGTATACAGAAGCATCCAAGGTCAATAATATATCCAATGGCTACTGCTCACTAAAAAGCCTTTAAATGGAGACTCTCATACTGTCTAATTCTAACTTTGCACCAGATCATCCATATGTTCATATATTTCCATTTACTTTAATGTATTAGCCTCTGGGGACATTCAGTGAGATAATTAAGAAAAAAAAAACACCACCACTATCAATGAATGTACTCATTTTTATTTTAGGCTCAAATACTTATTTATCTTGAGCTACTGCTGGTTATTGTATCTACAGCTTTATAAGATACAATATTTTCCCCAAATACTTTTACATACTTGACTCATAATATTTGTGTACAAGAGGAAATAATATGTAGAGCACAGAAGGAAATCACTACATGCCAATATGTATATTAAAAGGATAGGAAGTGATACTCTATGAGACAATTAGAAGTTCACTTCAAAGCTAAGACTTAATTTACTTAATTGCCCTAATCTTTACTATCTTAGGAGCCACACAGAATTCACTTACTTAAAAAGATAGAGTAATTTGGGATTCCATTTCCTCACTTAAATTAAGACAAATATATTGGACACATGGTGGCACAACTTCTGCTGGGTAACTGAAAGATCACGTAGTAATGATGATATTCTGGAAAGCAAATAAGGCCTTAATTCTGACTTTACAACAACAGACTGTGAAGGGTTAAAATCCACTTGTGAAAATCCAAAGTGCACACCGTGCACATGGCATGTTGGGACCAAAGATGTTCATTCAGCAGAAAGTCTACTTGATGAAAAATTTTACAAGCTTTTAGGAAATGTCATTTTCCCAGGGTAAACAATGCATTTGAGGACAGCAGGATACCACTTGTAGCTCAATCTTCTGCTGCTGCAGGCCTGTAAACAAAACTTCAGCTCTAAGGATTTCTCTAAAAATGACCAACAAATTGGCAAAACTTGCAGTGAGGCTATAGTATATTAGTTTGCTCCAGCTGAATTCTAAGCTTTTTTAGATTTTTCTAAATCTATAAGTTAGCTTGAATTTTCTTCAGTTTGGTCACTTGAAAAAGAATAGCTTAACAGAGCCTGATTTGAATGACTGGATCTGAATGGAATTAGAATGGCAAATTCAACCATCTCCATCTCCATTCCAAATCCAATTTTTCTGGGCAGTTTGTTAAATGACTTGGATTCACAATGTCAGTCCTCTCAGAAGAATTACCCACCCCAGGTGGCCTACACCCTGTCCTACCTTGAGCTCTATCTCTGCTGCAGTAGACTTGGTTGTCTCCAATCTCTCTACTAGGTCAGTGTCATCAAGGAAGCTTCCCTCTGCGGCAGAAAGGCGCAGAAGGAGGTCATCCTCAAGCTGTTTCAGCTCAATCTTAAAGTCGTTTTGGTGCTTTGTCAAAGCCAACTAATGCAAAACAAACAGGTGAAAAATGGTAAAGAAACATATGTTTTTAAGGGGAGTTAATACACATCTCATGAAGTCAATATATGTATACTAAAACACACAACATTAAAACCACACTGGTCATAATTTTAAAAAATTCTCTTAAGAAATTCAAAAAGCATGTTAAGATCTGGTTGGACTCCAAAGTCCAGACAGAGTACATCAGACAATGATTTATCATAATTCTCTAACATCACGAAACTCTAGGGAGCATCGTTTAAGAAAGCATCAGAAACTTTTGGTTTTCATTGGAAAAGAGCTTAGAAGACTCATTTGTAAGCAATAATTCTTCCACCAGACAAATGAGGTGACAGGGTAAACTGCCACCCTGAAAACTGGTTGGGCAAATATGGAAAACCACCACCAGAACACCTAAACTAATTGGATAAATGCAGGAGGCAGAGCTGGAAATTTAAATATTTCTCCAGGCCCAAGAATAAGGGGACCTCCACACTTCTGTTTTATCTCTGAGAGTCCTACCAGGTTTTCACAGTGAAGCTAAAACAAAAATCCACTCCTACGTTGGGCAGGGGAAGGGAAAAATGAATCACTGTGGTAACTCAGGGGAAAAAGCAACCATTTTAAATTATGTCCAGAGCTTTCTATCCTTCTCAACAAAAGCCTGCCCACAAGGGAAAGTACTTTACCACAGGCTACTGTGACCTACCTAGGGAAAGGGCAATTAGACAACTCAGTCCATAATGGTTTCTGCCTACAAAGGAAGGGAGAAAAAGGCTAAGAAATTCCCTTGAAGGTCACAGTCTTAAAATTCTCTGAGGACTGGGGATTTAGCTCAGTGGTGCCACTGCCTGCCTCGCAACCCTAAGGTCCTGAGTTTGATCCCTGGTACCAAAGAAGAAAAAAAAAAAAATCCTCTGAGAATCGTAAGACTGCAGAATGCTCTCACTCTAGAATTGTATTAGTTGGCACAAGAGCAAGCATTAACATTAAAAAAAACCCAACTATAACATAAGCTAAAACAGAAGAGATAGTGGAATCATACAAAATACTCAAGATCAAAGAATGTAGAAAGAAAAGAGAAAACTAAAACAACAAGGAAAAAGTACCGTGAGCAAAAAGAGACAAATGTGGTACATATTAATTCAATTATGTAAATAGTCTCATAGAATATGAATTGTTTAAATCAATTAAAAGAGATGGACAGAGTAAACAACAAGATCCATTTATCTGTTGTCAACAAAAACAAACTTTAAATATAATAACAGACAAATTAAAAATAGGAGGAGGGAGAAAAATACACCATGAGGAAACTAATCAAAGCTGGAGAAGCTATGTTAATATCAAACAAACCAGGTACTGGAATGAGGAAAACTATCAAGAATAAACAGATATATTACATAATAATAAGAGTCAATTCCATATGAAAATAAAACAATCTTTAATTTTATGCACTGAAGAAGAGAGTAAAAATACAAGAGACAAGATGATAGAAGTGCAAGAAACAGACAAGTCCATTATTTATAGTTGGAGAACTCAAAACTCCTGTATCCATAATTAACAGATCAGTAACGATACTGTTGAATGGTGAGACACCAACAATCAACTAGATCTAATGACATTTATAGAATTCTTGTTCCAACAACAGCATGATATACATTTTTCTCAAGCTCAGATGGAACATTCACCAAGATGGACCAACAGTAGGCCATAAAACACTCCTGAAAAAGTTTAAAATAGAAATCATGCAAAATATGGTGCTAGACCATGACAAAATTAAGAAACCAAAAACAGAAAGATAGCTAGAAAATCCCAAAGTACATGGAGATTAAACAGCATACGTACTTTCAAATAATACATGGGTGAAAAAAGAAGTCTCAAGAGAAACTAAAGGCATTTTGAAATAAATGGGAAAAAAACCCACCTCAAAAGTGGTAAAAAAAGCAGTAAAAAGAGTGCTTAGAGGAAAATTTATAGCATTAACTACATACGTAAGAGAAAAAGATCTAACTTTTGTATAAATGTTTACTTAAAAAAAGAAAAAAAGAGCAATAAACTCAAAAGCAAGCAAGTGAAAATAATTAAAAATCACAGCAAAAATCAATGAAATTGATAAAAAGCCAATAGGGGAAAATCAATAAAATAAAAGGCAGGTTATTTGAGAGGATCAATAAAACTTATAACCCTCTAGCCAGGCAGAGAGAGAAAGAGAGAAAGAGGGAATATTAAATACTGATGCTAGAAATGAAAAAGAGGGCACAAGTCCCTGAATATTAAAGGAAATAAATAAATATTATGAACATTTGATGCCCACAAATTTGGTAAGTTAGATGAAGCAGATCTTTATCTTGGGAGACACCATCTACCAAAAACTCACACAAGGGAAAACAGATAATCTGAATAGGACGTATGTGTATTAAAAAATTGAATAAACAATCAAGAACCTTCCAAAAAAGAAAGTACCAGCCCAGATGATTTCTCTGGTGAGCTATAGTAAAGAATTAAGGAAGAAATTATATAGATTTGCTACAATTTCTTCTTGAAAACAGAAGCAGAAGAGCATTTCTTAACTCATTCTGTAAGGCCAGCATTATCCTAATACTAAAACCAGACAAAGCCATTATAAGAAAGAAAAATTATAGACCAGCATCTCTCAAGATTAAAAATCCTTGACAAGGTATTAGTAAATCAAATCCAACAATGTATAAAAGCAATTATTCATCATGCCAAGTGGGATTTATTCCAGGTATGAAAATCTGATTTGAAATTCAAAAGTCAAATGATATAATCTGTTATACAGTGGGCTACAGACTAAAAAGAATGTGATTACATCACTAGATTCAGGAAAAACATTTGGTAAGATTCCACCCTCAACTCATAATGGAAACTCTCAACAAACCATAAGTAGAGAGTAACCTCCTCAACTTTATAAAGAATATCTATAAAAAAAAAAAGATTTACAAGCTATGGCTAATGGTGAGATGCTAAATGTCCTCCCCCTAAGATGAGGAGACAAGGATATTCTTCTTTACAACTACTGTTCAATATTGTATTTGAAGCTCCAACTAATGCAATAAGACAAAACAAAACAAAACCAAAAAACCAAACTGTCTTTGTTCATACGTGACATGACTATGTGGAAAGTTTCAAATAGGTTAATATATAAATGCCACATGCTTTTCTGTACTCCAGCAATGGACATCTGGAATTTGAAATTTAAAACACAACACCATTTGAATTCATATAAAAATACTGAAGTATAGATCTGAAAAAAATGTGTTGGAGAGCCTAATGGAGAACTCCACAAAAGTTTGATGAAAAAAAAAATCTGAAAAATGGGGAAATATTCCACGATCATGGATAGGAAGTTAGTGCTAAGACATCAGTTCTTCTTTCCTGGGATTCAAAACAATATTAATCAAAATCCTAGCCCATTAGTTTGTTAATTGTCACAATCTGATTCCAAAATTTATACTGAAAGACATAAGATATAGAACTATCCCTTATATATACAAGAATAAATTTGGAAGACTGACACTACCTAAAGACTACAGTAATCAAGACAATGTGGTATTGATCAAAGAACAAACAGATCAATAGAAGAAGAGTGAACTCAGCAACAGATCCACAGAAAAAAGTCAGTTGATCTTTGACAGGAAGCAAAAGCAATTCAAGGGAGAAAAGATGATCTTTTTGACAAATAGGCTAGATAGTCACATGCAAAAGAATGGAGCTGCATTCCTTTTCTCACACTATAAAACTAATTTAAACCTGATCACAGACTTATATGTAAGAGTCAAAATTATAAAGTCCTATAAGAAATAACCTAGGAATAAATCTTTAATTGTGTCTTCAATGGTTTCTTAGATATAATATCAAAACTATAAGCAACAAAGAAAAGCAGATAAATTAGACTTTACCAAAATTACATTTTTTTGTTTTTCCAAAGATCACCAAGAAAGTAAAAATACAACACTTAAAATGCATATTTTGTAAATCATATGCACCAAAAGAGTCTAATATTCAGCATAAAGAACTTCTATAACCTGTCAATGAAAATAAACTAATTTTAAAATGAGGAAATTATTTGAATAGATATTTCTCCCAAAGAAGAAGTACAAAAGGCCAATAAATATATGAACAGATGCTCAATATCATTAGACTTTAGGGAAATGAAAATAAAACCATAATGAGATAACATATTCTACCCTTTAAGATGATACATAGCAGGTGGAGATGTAAAATACTGCAGGCTTTTCAACAGTCCAGTAGTTTATTAATTGATTTAGAACAGAATTACCAAACAAGTGAGCAATTTTGTCCTAGCAGATATCCAGAAGAATTTAAAGTACATGTCTATACCAAAATCTGCACACAAATAGTGGATACAAATACTCAAAACGTTATCTAATCATAGTCCAAAGGCAGAAACAATCTGAATGTCCATCAGCTGAGGAGTGGATAAATAAAAGGTAAACATTCACACAATGAAATATTATTCATCCATAAAAATAATTAATATCTCACACATGCTACCACACAGAGGAACCTTGGAAATATTAGGTCTGCAAGTAAATTATCTTAATTTCCACAATGCTGAAATACACTATTTACTATTTCAGTTTTCAAAGTTATTGTTAGAAAAGTGGGTACCATATGCCTTTTAGACATTTTAATTTCTCTGTGTGTGCCCTTTAGTCTTGATATTCTTTATTTTTCTCTTTTATTTATTTTCTTGGGTACTGGGGATTGAACTCAGGACCTTGCACTTGTGAGGCAGGCGTGGCTCTTTTATTCTTTTTTTTGGTACCAGGGATCGAACTCAGGTCCTTGCGCTTGTGCAGCAGGTGGCAAAACCACTGAGCTAAGTCCCCAGCCTGGCTCTTTTATTCTTGATTAGGCCTTCCAGAGGTATATTTATTAGCTTCTTTTCCCCCCAAACAACTAGCTTTAAAAAAATGCTGTTTATCTTCTCTGTCATTAGTTTGCTTTTATTACTGCCTTATTTTCAGATTTTTAGGCTTACTCTCGTTTTCAGTGTATTTAACACTGAATGTAATTATTTTTAGTATTTCTTTTTCTTAGTATATTAAAAGCCATAAATTTTCTTTTATATGTTAGTTATAACCTACTACAAGCTCCTTAATTTCTTCAACCTTTTTCTTTCATCTTATTGTCATTTATTTTCACTGGCTAACCTGGTCTTGTAGATTTCAACCTACCCAAGAAGGTACCTGCTTCTATACTTCTGTTTTCCATGAATGATAGATGCCTTTGCCGTCCTTGTCCTGTGTATCAAATAAGAACAAGAGCTAGCCCATCTCCTACCTGTAGCATAACCCTAACTACCTGACATTTATCAGAGGTAACCTTGAGTTCTTTACTTTAGACTACAATTAGACCATGAAGACAAGCGTTTCATTTTATAGTTTCCTATCTTGCACTGTAATTTGTAGAAAAGCGGTGTTGAGTCATTGGTGAATAATTTAATAATTTTACCTTAAGTTTCTCTAAATCTGGCCTTTCAATGCTGACAACCTCTGCCAGCAGCTGGGCTTCCAGGCCATCTTCTGTGACGGTGAAATTGAGGAGGGTTGTCTGAGCTTGTAATTCTGGCTTATAGTGAGGATTTGCCAGTTTTGTGTGAAGGATGAGGCGAAAGTTACTGTTAAACTCACATTCTTTATCTCCAATCCGGATATACCTAGAGGGGATCACACAGACACTCAGGAGACTCATGTACCTAGGACCTCTCTGAGGGCCACTCCACTCCTGTCTTCTGATAGTGCACCTAGGCCAGAAGACCAGGTAAGTGGGAACTTCTCAGCTACTCCCGGTTTTCCTAAAATACAGGAAGAATAAGAATTATTCACTGTGACCTATCAAGATTAAGTTTACTCACATGTGAAATGGGGACAATAATTAATAGTACTTACCTCATAGTGACACTGTTACAAATAACATCAACCCTATAAAGGACCTATAATAGCAAATACTAGCTTTTATTATATATCCTGTGATTAAAATTATATTACACATGGCTATTCTTTACAGATAAAACTTGTAGAATGTGCTGATTTATATCTGTATATATGTGTATATACATTAAGTATGGATCCATACCTAAATGTATCATTAAATAATATGAAATTTCACGATTTTATAAAGAATACACATATAAGTATACACATACTTACAAACACTACATTACTAACGTATCATTTATTTTTCCAAAAATAGATTAAAAATACATATGTACTCTACTTAAAATTATTTTCCAATATTTTTGGCATATCTTGTGTTCCCTTTCCTGTTAGGAACCTGATATGAAGATCTAGTAGAAAGGGAGCTTTTCAATTCATCACAGACAGAAAAAACAAAACCATGGATATTGGAACTTCTCAAACTTTTTTTGCTAAAGTAGCCTGAACTGGATGGAGTGAAAATTTTTATAGGAAGCCTGGAAACAGTTGAAGCAAAGAGCATCTTCTCACTTTCCTATTTCATCTTAAATAGTTATGAAAATTCTATGTTCTTCCCATTAAATGTATGAAATATTCTGATCAACTGGGCATGATGGTACATGGCAGTAATCCCTGGACTCTGGGAGTGGAAGGCAGGAGGATCATAAGTTTGAGCTCAGCCTGGGCAATCTAGAAACTTACAGAGCCTGTCTGAAAACTTAAAAAGGGCTGAGTATGTATCTCAGTACAAAGGACCTGGATTCAATCTGCAAAATTAAAAAAACCGAGAACACGCCGAATCAGCCCGCTGCAGACAGGCAGGTCTGCCCATACCCTACCGAGGTCCCCAGTCGCGCGGAACACAAGCCGAATCAGCCCGCTGCAGACAGGCAGGTCTGCCCATGCCCTACCGAGGTCCTGAGTTGCACAGAACACGCCAGATCAGCCCGCTGAAGACAGGCAGGTCTGCGCACGCCCCACCGAGGTCCTGAGTCGGGCGGAAGACACCGAATCACCCCGCTGCAGACAGGCAGCCACCTGATTCCACACTACAAAGACGCAGAGGACACCAGACCACCAGACCAAGGTACTGAGCCCAACTGTTCCCGGCCCAGAGGTAGGGGCTTCTGAGCCATCATCGCACTGCTCCTGGTCCAGAGGAAGGGGCTTCCCGGTCACCATCCCTCCTGCTGCTCCCAGCC